TACGGGAATTCACCCGGTAGATTCCCCCAGTACTGGGTATTTATATTTGGGACTACGGAACGGAATTCCGATAGATCCCCGTGCACTATGAGTTGGACTACAGTATGGGATCTCGGGAGATCCATTGGATATGTACAAATGGGCTACAGGATAGTATCCTGGGAGATCCCCGATCGTTATCATTGGTGCTGAGCTGTACTTCGTTTCCGTGTTTACCTTGTTTCTGTATGGTCGTTGTTGTCCTATACATCCTGTGTTATTTCACTGCTGTACTTATTTATACTGTTCTGTCCTATACTGTTGACCTTATTATTTTATTTGACCTCAGTAGGGACCTGGCCTTCCTCGTCACTATCCAACCGAGGTTAGGCTTGGCACTTACTGAGTACCGCTGTGGTGTACTCATGCCTCTCCTACGCATGTTTTTCATGTGCAGATCCAGGTACCGCTACTCAGGCCTACCATCCTTGAGGGAGGCGATTACTTTAGAGACTTCGAGGTACATCTGTCGCGTCCGCAGACCGAGAAGTCCCTTTCTATTCTAGTTGTTAAACATTGCCCTTCTGTATTTTCTTTCTTGTTAGATATTTTGGAGTTAGACTGTTAGATATTCCAAAGGCTTGTGTTTCCGTGAGTTTTCGGGTTTTGAGATAGTGGACTTGGTTTTGAGAATGTTGCATTGTATATGCCGAGCGGCATTATAACTATTGTTTCCATTCAGTTATTTTAATTTTGATTATTTCTTCCGCAAGTTTCATTTATGTTCCGCATTTTTTAGGCTTACCTAGTCGTAGAGACTAGGTGCCGTCACGATGGTTCACGGAGGGCGAACCGGGGTCGTGACAGTTATGGAACAGGTAGATGTGATTGGACGGGGTGTTGAAGCCTCGGGTGTGTTGCGGGGTGATTTCAAACCAAATTTGGATGAAAAGCTATTGCTGGTGTTGTCCTTCGCGAATGCTTGGAGGAGACGCGATCGCGAAGAAGGATTTTTGGGCTGGTGGATTTTTCCCTATGCGAACGTGAAGAGGGGCATGTGAACGTGTAGATGGGCTTGGTAGAGCTTCGTGAACGTGGAGGCTGAACCGCGAACGTGAACAAGAAATGAAGGAAATGGGGCAGAAGGCCTTTGTCTTACGCGATCACGACTGGGGAATCGCGAACGCGGAGGGCGAGGGGCAGTAGGCATCGCGAATGCGACATTAATGATGCGAACGCATAGAGTTAATTTGGGGGCTGTAACTTTTGGCCTTCGTGATTGTGATGGTCTTTCTGTGATTGCGAAGAAGAGCGGGCTTGTGCAGATTGGATTTAATACAGGATTTGGCTCATTCTCTCTCATTTTTCACTTGGTTGGGCAATATTTGGAGCTTTTGAAGAGGAGATTTCATCCTATATCATGGGGTAAGTTATTTGAGTTAAATATATGAAGTATACATGGATCTTAACATAGAAATTTGTAGAAAATTTGAGATTTTTTGTGGAAAACCTAGAAATTGGTATTTTTGGAATTTGACCACGAAACTTTTCATGGAATTGGGAATAAGTTATATATTTGAGTTCGTAGTGTTATGGGTAATATTTATCTTCGAATATTTTTGGAATCCGGACATATGATCCCGAGGGTTGATTTTATTGACTTTTTGAGCGGAGTTGGGAATCATTATAAATTGTTAAATTGTAAGCATTGTAGTATATTTTCCTTAATCTGCACGTTTTTTGACTAGTTTTAGAACGTTTGGCTTTGAGTTGAGGTGTTAGAGAGGTGTTGGAACCGGTCATGGAACTTCGGAGCGAGGTAAGTCTCGTGTCTAGCCTTGTGATGGGGAAACTACCCCCTAGGTGATATTTATTCTTATGTGCAACTAGTTGTGGGTGCTACATATGCACGAGGTAGCGAGAGTCCGTACGTAGCTGAAATATATTTATGTCCGGGTAGACTTAGGACTTTATCATGTAATAATTGAATTATTTGAACACTTTCTGTTGGATTAATTAATATGAGTTATAACTAAAATTGATTTAGAAATAAATATATGTATACTAGGCCAAGTCTTATCACCTTAAGTTATTGGCTAGTTATTTGAGGAACAGTAAAGATTATGTTCACTTTGTGCTCATGTAATTGAAACGTGTGTCTCATGATTCGTTACCTTCCTTCTTCTTTTTTGTGGAGCGGGACAAACTCCTAGGCAGTATATAGATGCATCTATGGTTCGTACCGCTCGACCAGTGTATACATTATTCTGGATTGGGCCGAACAACCTCTGCAGAATCGTGCGTTATATTGCTAGTAGCCCGAATATTCACGAGCTAATCTTTCCACTGATGCCCGACCCTTTTATATGGTATTCCTTTATTTATTTGATATTGACATTTGGTATTTTTTGAGCTGTTAAGGGAGAATACAAGATTTAGAAGTTCATGCTTTAAAACAAATAATTGGAAGATTATATAACTTACATATTTACCTCATCATTGTCGTATGCTTCATATCTGCTTATATTTTATTATATTGCTTTACTGGATCTTTAGTACGTGTCGATGTCGACCCTCTTCACTACTTCTCCAGGGTTAGACTAGATACTTACTGGGTACACGTTGATATACGTACTCATGTTGCACTTCTGCACTTAATGTGCAAGATCTGACAGGTCATTTGGTGATCATCTTGGCGCGTAGGCGCATCTGTTGAGGAGACTTTATGTGAGCTGCAATTCAATCTACGCAAAGCAGTTCGTCGAGTCTACATTGTATTATTTATTTTATCATGTCTTATTTACATTCTGGACAGATGTTGTATTATTGTTATACTCCTTAGAAAATGCTCATGCACTTGTGATACCGGATTTTTGGAGATTCCTATGGATTGTTTGTTATTGTAATTGCGCATTCAATATTTATTTTACCCTGGAAATTCTATTTTATACCATTAAATTAATGAAGATTGTGATATTAAAAGTAATAAAATGTGTAAATAAATGGATATATCAATGTTGGCTTGCCTGACGGCTGCATTAGGCGCCATCACGACCTATAGTGGACTTTGGATTGTGACATGTAACATTAACTACTTTTAAAACTATTGTTTAAAACATAGTCAGTAATTGTAAAGTACTTAGAATATAGTCGTAACTTTAAAATTAGTACAAATGTAATCACTTCCTAATTAAGTAAAGACCCACTTGATCTGCATTTTTTGGAATTTTAAACCTCCAATGAAAGCTCTCAAAATGATATGATAACTTTCTCCTTTAGGAAGACTGAAGCCTTACACAGATTGGAGTAGTACTGTTATGGACAAAGTGGCTGCAATTGGATATTATTAAGGATAGCCGTGGAAAGATGTGATGGCATATGCCAATGCTCTTCACTTGTGCACTAATAACGCAATTGAAACATAAGCTACACTTTTAGAAATTGTGTGGAATGCTTTCAATAGAATTCACAATATAATTCTAGAAATGAACTCTTTATTACCTAACTAAATTTTGAAAATTGATTTATAAAATAATCTATCAAGGTAGAACATTTTCTTATTTTGTAGCAAATATACCCTAATAATCATAAAAAATCAAAAAGCTTAATACAGAACTTGGGAGAGCATTTGAATTTTCAATTAAATTAGTATAATAGTGTTTGCTATATTCACTACTAGAAATGTCCATTTTCCGACTGCCAATTTGCGACTACAAAAATTCAGTGAGAGTTTCCGATGGAAACGGTCGAAAATTTGCTAAAAAATATATATACTCTCTTAAAAAAAAAATTTAAGACTCACACTGCTACTGGGTCCGTCGAAAAATGGCGGATAAAACCGCGAAAGTTTTTTGCGAGGTTTTCGACTATTTATGTCGAAAAATAAAAAAATTAAAATTAAAGATTGCGACAAAATCGGTCGCAAAGTGAAATTAATTGTTGCCTGACACCTTTGACTGCGTTGACCCACTTGTGCGATGGATTTGGTTGAAAAATTTAAATGTTAAATTAATATTTGCGGCCGATTCGGTTGCAAATCCTTTTAAAATACCTGCTTTCCCTGAAAATATTTTATTTCGCCTCTTTCATCAGTCTTTCTTTTTCCATCTCCTCCCAGTTCCCCCCCCCCCCTCCCCCACACCCCCC